CTCTTCTCCTGTGATGTCTTGCAAAACTGATTTGGTTTCGACACCATTGCATACCATGCGGAGCAGTTCCGCCTCCAAATCCCTCAGTTCATTATGGCGTTGGATGATAAATTCGCCCCGTTTGCATGTCATGGCGTGATCCACATTGAAGGTGTCCCCGCACGCAAACACAAGCAGAGGGCGTATCAGGAACTTCCCAGTCGTACCTGAGTTTTGCAGCGTCTCAAAACTCACTCTAGTTTAANGCATGAAAGGCCAAGTGGGCGGTTTTCAAAATCCAGGGATTCGTCTGCAAGCGTTTCCTTCCTTCCTTCCCCTCCCCCTCCCCCCTCTCTTACTCGCTACATTTTTCGCGCTGTAATTCTTTGCTCCCGAACCCCACAGAAACGCTTGCTACGCAGGCTACAAAAAAGGGGAGTAAGGATATCAGTAAATCAAATTTGGCCTAAAGTGTTGATTATCAGTGGCTTGTTCCTGTAATGGAAGGAGAGCTAACTAAGACAATAAGGAAGACTAATATAAAGTCGGATAAATGAAGTCTTTAATATTACCTTCTCAAACGGCAATTCTTAGTGCAGGAGAGGAGCATGAACCCTATGAAAACGTATTGAGAGGTGGCATAAAAAATTAGTGCCCGAGAAAGGCCTACAGAAAGAGCACAAATTAAGGTGGTAGAGTCAAACTTCCTGCACACTCTCCATCTCAACGACTTGACTGGACCCATTATTTAAGCCGTTAAGTCAAGAATATCAAAACAAAAGTCTGAGGATGATTATGAAGAAACAAAAACAATTAACATCACAACTATTGTGTTGTAACCAAAGAGATAGTGATGAATTCTCAATTCTGCCGAGGGACCTATCCAGTTTTCATTTTGATAAATAACGCCAGATGCTTTGCCTGAAACTGAAACAGACCTCTTGTAGTAACGTAACAGAAAAGCGAAGTACTCACTGCACCTGCAAACAAAAAGGGTCACGAAGCTGTTAAACTGTTCAAAAATAGCAACCCTCACCATCAGTGTGTCCGGAAATAAAAAAATACTTCAGTTTATCCCGTTGATAGGACACCGCTACAAAAAATGCATGAACGAAATAATAAGCACCATGATGGCTCACACTGAATTCCGCATAGACATTGTTAAAATTCGTAGTGGAGTTCCCGCTAGCAGGTTTACGTTAGAATATTTATCCCCGATGCCTCAAAATGTTTAAGATTTAGATGTAGGGCAACTGAAACTTTTTCTTAGATGTTTGAACGTGAAATATGCAGGACGTTTACAAAACTTTACAAACGCCTCCCGCTCACGGAAGTCCGCCATGTTTGTTTTCCACAAACCAGTACTTAGTATCGCTCGGCCTAAAGAAGACTAATGTGGGCGTTGCTTGAGCTTCATTAGACCCCTAAAAGATACCAGTTAAAACGGAATAGGTTCGATTACTAGCCACTGTTCAAGAAAGGATCCCGCGCGCACTTGCTGACCCGACTCGCGTCCTCCAGAGATCAACGGAAAACAAATGAAAGCGTTTCTTTTATTATTATTTGTTCGAGTGCACCCTAAAGGATACTTTAACAGCGAAGAATGGTGACGTTTCGTCAACACCCTAGGTGAGACCACAATCCTTGATTTGTACTCGAGACGACGAGAATACCCGACCTTTTCATATAGGATTTCAGATATTATTTTATTATTATTTCTAAGATCTCCCAAAAGGTTACAAATAAAGAAAAAAAAATCACTGATCACAAAAATCGCCTGGGAAAATAACGAACGAAAAAAATAGGAATGAAAATGAACTAAAGGCAAGTGTAAATCCTTAATTGCACTCGCACTCATACGATTACCTAAAATACAAAAGTTGTAAATTTCGTTCAGTTTCTTTCACATAAAGCACTTAACATTGACCACAACAAGAGGTCGTTACACTGCCCATAAGCTGCAGCAACCAAAACATAAAACCTCCTGCCTTCAATTCCCAGTCCACGGGCTAAATTTTTTGTGTTTCCCTAACTTGTGAAAACATGAACAGAGTGACTATAACTGAACAGATTTTATAATATATATGTAGGACTCTGCGTGCATTCTGACTGGTCAAATACCTATGTTTTATCAGAGTTTATAAAATAACTGAGATACTACGCATACTCTGATTGGTCAATATAGTTGCTAAACCTATCTTCTATTGCACCGGTAAACCATGGTTCCCGATCTATGGCAGCTCTACCCGAGAACTAGAGAACTCGGAACTCTAGCGATAACAAATGTAATAAACAGTTTTGCCTTTCACTGGCTGAGATATCAATAACACAAATATCTTTTCATGGCATGGACATAGGGAAATTTGCAAGGAAAAAAAGGACCAGAGTTGGTCGTCATATTAAGCTTTAAGTTTATCTTTTCTTCCACGACAAAAAATTTTACGCCTACTCCGGTTACGCTTGAGATTAAAACTAAGGAAGTGTTAAACCCTTTTTTCGGTGCTTTCCACGGTCTGTGGAGGACGAAGTCAGCTAGGCTTGACTGATCAATTTGGGTTGTCAAATAAGCAGGGAAAAGATTTCTTCTTATCAGAAATTTTGAGTTTAAACTCAGTGCATGCATGCTTAACACGATAAATGAATTTGGTTTCCAAAAGCTTAGCTTTCAACCAATAGTTTTCATTTGGCAAAAGACAGAGAAACACGGACTTCATAGCCTTCAGCATAGGTAAATAAATTCTGAATAAATTTCGGAAGCAGCGTTTCTGCAACTAACCTTTATTTCATTCGCAAAACTTTGGAAAGTTATCGTTAAACATTGTTTGAATCACTTCGCCAAGCGCATGAAGTCTGGACTACCTGCACACTTTTCGTACAGCCTTTAGAATACTTTTGAGCTAATTAATATACTTTTTGCCTATCACCAATAACCATTTCCTTTCCTTTCTTAAAACTTTCTCAGCGTAAAATGTTTTCGTCGCTTTGCTTTGCGGATTTCGTGTCCGGCGCGGAGTCTGGGAACCTCATTTACAGGCACTGAAAAATCGGTACGGCACGCCAAATTTTTGGCACCGTGCCTAAACCATTTCGGCACCGCACTACCCATTTACATGACAAAAGTAAAAGGTTTTCCTCCAGCTGGGCACAGTTCCAATTTCTAATCGGCTCCCCTTCTCTCCATCTGTTTTATTCCCGGGAAATGGCGGATAAACAGCTTGCCGTCATCTTGCATCGCATCTTAAGAGTAAAATGTGACTCAAATCGAAACAGGAAGAGCCATCTTCGGTTCAACAAGGAGATTGATCTGCATCTTGACGAAATAAGAAAAAAAAAGACGGAAGGAGAAATGGTTGTTTGCAGCGAGTGACGTTTGAATGGACTCCTCAGCCCACAACTCTAGTAACGCTTCTGTAGCTTTATCTGTCCAGTTTATTCCTCGGTTTTTCTTAGGCGAGCAGAGCGAGAACGACGCGTCTCTTCCGTTGCCATTTTTGTGGCAACCACGCATGCGTTATGGTAAAGATCACAACAAAAAGGCCTGGAACGGCACCGGAGAGCTTTTACACGAAAGAATTTTTTTGGCACGGTGCCTCATTTACCCGTGCCGAGACTACCTCCGGCACCCCTAAAATTTTGGGCATTGGTGCCACATTACATTTGGGAGCGATACGCTTACACATCGAAAATTGGGAGTGCCGTGCCTTAAAATCGTCAGCTGTGCCTTAAAATCGTCAGCATAAAAGCGATAGAGCACTCTTTGTATGGGCGGCACAACAAACCACTTGGAATGCTGGGAAAACAATCGAAAAGCTTGTAAGTCACTTGCCTAACGACTCGTGATTTACAAGCTTTTCTCGTGTTCTCCCAACATCCCGCGTGGTTTATTGCGTCAGTAAACCCATAGAAAGAATGGTCTATTGCTTAATAAAACATAGAAAAAGCATGTTTTATTGTTTTTCGCCTATAAAGCAAATGAAGAAGCCTAAGCCCTGTATTACGTTGTGATAAAACACTCCGGACATTTGAGAACTCTCGAGAAATGTAGAAGACACGAGCCGCAGGCGAGTTTTTTTCTACATTTCCCTCGTGTTCTCAAATGCCCGTCGTGTTTTATCACAGTGTAATACACGGCTTACGCTTCTTTATTTGTTAAATAGTCTTCGCTTCGAATAAACACACAAGTAAGTCAATATAATAAAATAAGAAGTTATATAAAACCTAAAACCTGGTTGTACTTTCACTATAAACCGCCGTTATTTTTTCCACTTTTAAGGCTGTTCAGAAACATGAAATTTGCAGGTCTACATAAAAAGTTTAATAACCTCTTACTAACCGAGCGCGAGGGCCTTACTGGGAAGGTCGTTATTTTGTTTTGTGGCTGGAATTATAGGCGGTTCTAAAAGGCAAATCTAAGTTCTGTGAGACATTCTGTGGTGTATAAATATAACACAGATACAGGAGGAGGAAATCATAGTCGTTTTTCATGAGCCTATGTCGTATGAAAATGGAATGAAGCCCCTGGTTTCCATAAACGAAGCTACTTTTGCGAAGACACTTAGAGGCTGCACGCGCCGTTGCCTTACAGCGAAATCTTAATCCATTTGAGTTTTGCGGAGAAAATGGCGTTGTCAGCCTAGTCACTCAGGCTAAAGTAATGGTAGTAGTAGTTCGCCGTAGAGTATCTTTAAGACCCTATTGTTAACGTGTTAAGAATTCACGAGGACCCTTAGCCGGCGTAGTAGTTGTCGAGAAATGATTATTGTTTGAAATGTGCTCGTGCCAGTTTAGGGACAAATTCAAACTGGAAGGAGCTATTCCTGAAAAATGGATTTTGGTCGCCAGGTTTTTTATGGAGGAATTTTCAATACTCCGATGAGTGTCCCTGTCACTGTAACCCTTACCTCTCTCTTTTTGTCCTCATTTTTCGTCATCTCGTTATGGCGCCTTGCGCACTAAATAACGATTGCATAGCCAAGTCATGGTGGCAATATCGAATGCGATTGTTTGGTATCGGTCCGATTTGCGTGACAACCGTTGGACTAAATCTTCACAAGTATGCAAGGTTAAACAACGTGACCAACCCTGCATTTCCGCTGAAGTTCCCTTCGCTGATCACTTGAATAATTCAGCGTAAGGAAGCTTTACAATTGAAAACAATCGTCGTGAACGCATTTGGCAGTGAAGAACGTGCTTTGATCACAAATCTCACTCAGTCGTGGGACCATTGATCGTGAGCTTGATGAGATGAGTTTCTTGAATTTGCTTCGAATACGCACATACTGGTATGGTCTTCTTGCACTGCTGTTGCTTCCGCGTGCAGGTATGTGTTATTCCCATATGCTTGTGTTTGTACAGTTGGAAATGTGAAGGTTGGTCCACGTTCCTTGGTTCATCTGGTGAGCAGATTCGACTAGCCGGATATCGCTGATTTCAATGGGCTAAAGGAATATGTGAATCATACTTAGAGCAGTTTTCAGTGAGTGTCGAAAGTAATCAGCGCAATTCGTTTTGCTTTTGGCTTTGGTTTTGGTTTTGGTTTTACTGCGGTTTGAGATTAGCTGACTATTCATATTGGTAACAGTCAATTGAAAACCGCCCTGGTAGATCTCTTGACAGAAAGACATTTGTATTACAGTATACATGAGGCTTGAAACACGCACGTGTCGATTGTTTCTGAAGTTCTCCATTGTTTTCTGTGTTTCTATCTGTATGATGTCAGTCATATCCGATCTGCCTGTTACTCCAATCGGTGGATCAACTCATATAACAAGAAAGTATTAATTTGGGTCTTTTTATCCCTCATCGACTGAATTAACTTAATATTAACAACATCTGGTATACCAAGCGAAACTGGAGCCGACTGGATGGCGTTAAGTTGCTTGTCTCTTATCAGATCATCACTGAAACACTCAGTGTAGAATGCTTTAGTAAGAGTAAGGCCTTCCATTTAAGATTGATTGTGGGCACGTATCGCTGCCGGAATCGTGTTTAATATGGTTCAGTAAGTTAGCTCGGTTGGAAAGTTAAGCACGACTTACTTGTTCATGCGAAGAGGTACCGAGTCTCTTGTGTTGGGGCCTCAATGGATTTTATTCTTCGAAGCATTACCATTGGCAACACCTCATACTGATTCTTCAACAGATTTAATTTATAACTGATGGATGCAAGCTCGAGGGTTTCCAGCTAAATACCTAAATTATAGACATGTCTGGGCACAGCCGTCCCAAACTCACGATTCGAGGAAGCAATCAAATATTAATGATTTATGTCCGCGCTCGAGTGTGACGTGACCACCTAAAGTGCGCGGTGTTGAGTTACACTTTGAGCGTTGGGAATTTGAGCGCTCTAATAAAAGGCATTGTATGGAGTTTAAAATAACGAAGGATAAAAACGCGCAACGAGATAAAATGTTATTTTTTAAAGATAAAATAAAGAAAATATTCTGACCCTGCCTGATTTCAGTTGTCCATTTGGCCTATTTTATTGGTTTTGGCGGAGGGGGGGGGNGGTGCAAGTAGATCTTCTCTATCAGGCAGAGTTCTCAGAAAGTACGTCCAGCAGTGTTTTAATCCAAAAGTGAACGCTGCGTAGCAAGCATGGGGCTGCGACGGAGCAAATTCAACCAATTTTGTCACCTACCCCACCGATTATTCTTCGACTTTACCATTAACGTAATGCTCAAGATAGGACCCGGAGCCCAGCGCCGCACCCAGATGCTTCCGTCCTTCTGTGGTGATGTTAACTGCTGTTTCTTCAAGGATGCTCCTAGCGGTCCCCTCCTTATCAGGCCTCGTAACAAGCAAGCCAGCATTTTCGATTTTCCAGTCCGGCTATCGTCAGCTCGTCCCACCACACCCTAATGTTCTGTAGTGATCCACACCCTGTCGCATCATCTGCAAACCAACATTGTTTGGCTTGACTCGCGGCCTGTAGACTGAAGGCATACATGCACATTACTAAGGGATCGCCTTGCGTAGTACCCTCCGCAGAGCTCTTTACCCCCATTAAAAAATAGTCGTCCTGGTGCTCGGTAGGTATTGATTGCAATTGCTGGACAAAGAACCCTGATCTTATGAAGGGCGCCGGCTCGGTTTAGTGTATTGAAGGCGTTTGACGCATCCACTAGCAGCACTGCATCTGTTTCCTCGTCCTGGAATAAACTGTTCATTGCCTGCACTGCTGCCTCACTCCCGGATTTGTGTCCAGCGCAAACCTGAAGCGAGCCTCTCGACTCTTGTATATCTTGTTTCGTCACCTTTGTCACGCACTTTCTTTTTCTGAGTTTTGTTATCACTATCACTACCACCACCACCACTACCACCACCATTATCATTATCATTATCATTATCATTATCATTATCATTATCACTATCACTATCACTATCACTATCATTATCATTATCATTTTTATTATCATCATCATTATTATTATTATTATTATTATTATTGTTGTTGTTCTTTTTTTAAATTTTCTGTGACAACGGTATTGCAATTACGTACGTGACTGTTCTTCATTTTGGGAAAATGACTTTGGGTCCGGTTTTATATTTTTCAGGAGGTCAGATTGCGTTTACCTCAAAGTATGGTGGAAACACTGTAACAGGTTTGGTTGGTTCCTCTGTTAGGTTTACTTGGAGCTTCACTGGTGATGTTAATTCAGTCGATTGGGGACTGAAGAAAGCTGGAGTGAATGCCATCGAGAATAACGGAGTATTGGTATCTCTAGACAAAAACGATTCACTGTTAGTAACAGTCTCTTCAGTATACAGTGGACGTGTGAGTGGAAGCGGTGACGTATCCTCTGGTCATGTCATCTTCACGCTAACCTCAATCAGAAGGAGTGATAAAGGATTTTACGGCTGTATAATAAAGCCGACTGACTTTTTTGATCTGCAAAAATTTGACTCTGTTTACTTGGCAGTTAAAGGTGAATATGCTTTTGTTATAACGTTAGACACTAACAGTAGTCAAAATAGGGCGAGCTGCAAGTTAAAATATGCTGTGTCTTGCTCGACAGAGGGAGTGGGGCTGCGGAGGAGGAAGGGCGACGGGAAAATGATACCGTTAGAAATTTGGCTGGCAAAGCTAGCTAGGCTCCTGGATGCCTTCCCTAGATCTGCCACTTAGTAACTTCATTAGTTCCACTTAATGCATCAAATACGACAGGGATTTTCACATCAAGGTTTCCAACATAAACAAGACAGTTGAAATTAGGACAAGCAGCGAAGCATTTTTGGAAAATCTAAATGTGTTTATCAAAAAATTGTGGCGAGATACTGTCTCGAGTATTAGATATATCCTCTCAATCGAAATTAAACTATTCAGTAATCGAGTTTGAGATTTTATTGTAGTCTCATATCGGTCCGCAATCCGCACGCCAACTAAGTACCAATGAAAGAAATTTATCAAAAGAACTGTCTTTCACCCCTTCATTGAGTGTATCAACGTGAACCGATATTGTAACTAAGTCACTAAACGAAGAAAAAGAAGAGACTGCGATGTATTTCGAGTTTAAGTGATATGAAAAAAGGAAAACAATAGTGGTCCTTACATTAAGGACTTGTGTCTTTCAGTTGCCACCTAGATGTAATTTAGTTGACGTAAATAAATAAGGCATTTTAAATTGCTCTCCATATCCAAAGAAAATAATGTGCCTAAGTTTTTACCCAAAAAATCCGCACCTATGAGAATTTTGCAAACATTTTTCGAAAAATCTCATATTGTAACTGATAAATTCTGATAAAAATTGTTCAAAACGTGCTCGTTTTCGTTACGGGACTTAAGTGGTGGCTTTACCAAACAGTCTAAAACAGGTGACTTTTTTCCAAAGACACCTGATACTTTTGCCATAGCGTCTTGTGCAAAGGGCACATCACAATAACCACGTCGAGACAAGTCCTCCCGTACCGCCTTCGAACTTTCTCATTATAAAGCCATTGCGCCATCATGGATGCCGCATGCCACTCTTGGCATTCCGGAACGGGAATTTAATAAACCATATACAGTAGCGTTTCAATACCACTGACTGTAATATCCTAAAAGAGAACCTGGCAAAATAGCAGCGGGAAGTTACGCCCATATTAGATGGTCTCAACACCCTTGAAGAAAATCCATTGCGCGACCAAGGCATGTACCAGAGCCCCCAAAATCGTGACGCAAAATGTTCCAAAGTCAACCTCTACTATAGCGGTAAGCATGACTCAAAAACCTTTTTTTGTTTGTTTGTTTGTTTGTTTGTTTTTTGTAGAGGCATCAAAGATAAGCTTCTCATCGGTACAGTCAAGCTATAATGAGGGATCAGCGGTCAGTATCACATGTACGGCATCCGGGATACCAGACCCAGATGTACAATGGTACAGAAGTGGAACAGTAAAAAGTTCAGGGAAGAAAGCAGCGTTTCTGACGTTCAGTAGAATACACAGAACAGATGATGGACAGTACACTTGTAGAGCCAACAACTCAGCAGGAAGTGATGAAAAGCATATAACACTTGTGGTTCACTGTGAGTAAAATTTATCTATTTCCTACATTTATTGATAACAACAACATTTCACGGAAAATTACTACTGACAAAATTAGTTAACTGATACTGAGAAATTAACCCTTCATTACTCTGGCAAAGCCCTAACTATCGAAATGTCCGCTCACTAAATCGCTACGGCGGTTAATTTACCTTCATGAACCTCAATTTGATAAACAGCTAAGTAGTTTACTAGCCCTCAGATACAGTCCAACAGTTTCTTTAGAAACGATCGACATAACTTTATTCCTTTACACCATTACATTACTGTACATTGTGTGGTACAATACTGAATTAGTAAACAACTAGATATTTACTCCTCAGTTATTATAGTAGCACCAAAGTTTGCCTTGGCTATAACCTGCTGACCAAACATTTTAGAGGTAATACATCAAACACGAAAGACCGTGTTTGACCCCATTTCCAAACACCGAGAAGAGAGTTGAAAATACGACGCTCAGCGGAGTATTTTTGACCAACCTCGAGATGTTTGGAAATGTGGTCAAACACTGTCTTGAGGCGTGATATATCCTCTCACTCGGAAATAAAACTAAGGAAAAACCTGAGGAACAAACTCGTAAAATTCACCGACACGGTAATGATTTCCTTTGTTTAAACTTGATGAATTATTAATGATTTTAAGAAGTTCCCTTAAATCCAATTCTTACTATTCTTAGATAATCGTTTGTACCGTGTGCAAATTTTCAAGCAGTAGTTTTAGTATTCGCTCTTACTATAAACTTCTTCCTATGTACTGTTCTTATTGTCTTTATAGAGTCATCACTTAATGCTAACGTGATACGTTAAATGTTTATCCTCCGTTGTCTGACTTTTTGTACCAAAGCATAACTTTTCATCTCAAGTCTGGACGAACTACTGTCAAACCTGTATGAAGAGAAAATCCTCGAGAAATGCTCTAGAGTGCGCTTAATAAAGGGAATCTGTTGAAAACAGGCTCCCACGGATCACGTTTTATTACATGTACGTGTCACATACAAAGCAATGACTGAGTAATACTTCTGAGGAGACACTCCTTACCAGGCGTACGTCAAAGTGTTTGTGCTTATTCGATTTCTTTAATGTGAAATTTGGTCAATGCTTTTTACTTGCCCTGCTCCGAGGGTTTTTCTCCGCGTTCTCCGGTTTTCCTCTCTTGCTCTACAATAACCAACATCGTATCTCCAAATTTCAATTCCACCAGAATGGGGGAGCTGCATGAAAACCAGCAAAGGCTGATGTGGCCTCCTCTCTAAGTAGTGTAAATTTATTTATTTATTTGTTTATTTATTTATTTATTTATTTATTCATTTATTTTATTCACTCTAGTTGCGTAAATTATACCCCCAATTCGTCCACGTGATCTAACAAGGACAACAAGGAACGCGACATAAATAATGATTATTATCAGGAGCCATAATCGGGGACGGAGACCGTAAGCGCGCGCCATTTCTAGTATTGGGGTTGTCCCCATGATATCGGACAATAATTCTATTTTTAGAACAAATTGCGCCATCGCCTGAGGCACACGCGCGTACATGCTGCGAGGATTTTTGCGGATGTCGCGCGGGGGAAATGG